CGTCCGAGACATTTGTAGTTCCCGATAACTGCTGCTCAATTTGCAATAAAACTTGCACCTGAAGTGTCACTTTTATCAGGAAACAGGGACCGTGGTCGACTTGCCATTTCAAGAGAACCAGTTAAAAAATTCTTTTTCTTGCTCATACTGGAAAAGATAGCACAGAGCGACAAATATCTCAGATTCGTAGCTTTTCAAAGAAGAAAATTAGTCCAGATCCAAATATAAGATCAAATGCTAAGAAGCAAAAAGATCTACGCTTTTCAGCGTCACAGTGTCTAGATTTTCTTCTTTCCAGAGCTTTAGCTTTCCATTTTCCGGAGTTTCACAGCTCAAATATGCGGTCAGACAGACCCACGCAGAGATATGTATGTCTGCACATCAATCTGACGTGTTTTTGTTGAGTCACTGAAGAAATAAAAAATTCAAGTTATTCATTTTTAAAAAAAAAATTGTTTCAAGATAGACTCACCAATTCCGTAACCATTGAAGGCCATATGCTTACGAGGTGCTGGGGCTTTTGTCGTATCAACAAAACCCGATAGCACAAGAACACTTGCGCATGAACAATTGGAACTTGCGACAAACGCAAATTATCCGACAGGCGTTCTGAAAAAAAAAAAAAAAAAAACGGTCACTACGAACAGTCTAAAATTCATTCCTTGAGATTTCCACGGAATATTACACTTATCGATTACGCCAGAGATGTTCTGGACAAACTGACGCCCTACAAGTCATCTCAGAGAACCAGTTTTTCAAAAGAATATAAAAAAAAGCATTAACCTTGAATATCAGGCAATTGCGCTTGATACTGTCCAAGCTCCGAGCTTAGAATTATGAATGCCAATCGTTTCAGGGCCTGCGCACGCATCTCATACTCAACTTCTTTGCTCGATATTAAACTTGAAAGAGCCGAATTCTGCGCTGTAGAAATTCGTGCTGAAATGAAAACTTTTCACAGATTTGAGACAGGAGTTTCTGCAAAATAAAATTTTAAGTGTTGGATTAACGCGTCTGCGAAATAAAAAAAATTTTCCTACCAAGTAATTCTTTGAAAGATGTCTTGTCATGAGTCATGAGATGATCGGTCACCACCAGCCAATACTTCAGTGATTGTATATCCATTTTAAAAAATGCTAAAATTTACGTTTTGAAGAACATACGTCAATTTTTCCACCCATCCAGAAATTAGTAATTTCGATTGATTAATAATAGACGGGAGCACTGGAAACAAGTTGATGATGCCCAACACACAAACATACACACAACATACGTACACATCGAAGACATACATACACCAATGAAATCTTGAAACGGCTAAAACTATGTCAAACTCCATCTAAAGAAAGAACCGCTGAATTATTAATCTCTCAAGGAGATGAAACGAACATCAGGAGAGTCAGCGACTGGTCACCGGGATGCAGTGTTGGCAAGTGCAATTGCACAGTTGAAAAACCGAACTAGGCTGATCCAACTATAAATAATAAATTTAAAAAAAAAAATTGAGCTCTACATCGACATCCAGCAGCCTCGTTCTTCCTAGATTTAATCGCAATATAACAGGGAAGCAACTTTAACATTCAAATTATTGCCTTACCTTGAATACCTTGAACAGCTGTTGTTTCATCGATCTCTGATGTTACGCCATCGATGCAGC